ACACGTTTGGGGGTGGAGATCAGGAATTCTGTTTTTGAACATATTAAACTTGACAAACCCAGTGCACAAATTTTTAAAAAGAATAAATGAGATTTTAAAACACCTAATATATAGGGACTTCCCTGGTGGCCCAGTGGGTAAGACTCCATGCTGCCAATGCAGGGGGTCTGGGTTCAATCCCTGGTGGGGCAACTAGATCCCGCATGTATGCCACAACTAAGAGTCCTCATGCCGCAAATAAGACCTGGCACAGCCTAAATAAATAAATAAGACAACTAATACATAATCAATGCTCAAAAACCAGTTTTTTTTCCCCAAATTTACTAAATCTCCTAAAGAGATAATATCAGTCTTACAGATTCACGAACCTTAGTTGACTTAATATATGTGAATAAAGGTTATTGATAATAATGAAACATGTATGTAGCTCTTCCCATGTGCCAAGTACTATTTTAAGTGTGTTTCATCTATTAATGAAGTTAATCCTCCCAACAGCTCTATAAGGAAGGTGCTGTTATCTCCATTTCACAGATGAAGAAATGGAGGCACAAAGCAGAGGTTGAATATACTTGACCAAATCCACACAGGTAGAAAGCAAAAGCTGAATAAAAATGTATTACTAAATGCCCCGATGTATATGGCAGATAATAAACTGAGAAACAAAGAGACAGATTATGTTGAATATTTAACAAATATTTATTGGCCATCTCACCTGTAACAGGCAATGTTCTAGGAACCAGATAGAGCAATGAACAAAACAGACCAAAAGACCTGCTCTCATGGGCTCAGTCAAGGAAAAGTGATTTGGAGAAAGAACAACTTGGGCTTAGCCTGGAAACTGTGTAGGATCTGAATATGGGAAGGGGAAAGCAGGAATCCGTTAGCAAACTACAGTGGCCCCTTCGGCACAGCCTGTGACGTGTTTCTGTCCGAGCCAAGAATATTTTTTACATTTTTAAAAGGAGAAAGAGAAGGAGGAAGATTATAGATAGGACGTTCTGAACATCCTTGAAGGAGGAGGAAGCAAACACTGCAATCAAACAGGCCCGGCTATAAAGGTGCATTGCTGCCTGTTCAAGAAGCCACATGGACCCCAGGATGGCTGGAGAGGAGATATTCACCGAGGAAAGTGGTGAAAGGACAAGGACAAAGAAAGGCAAGAAGTAGAAACAAGGGCTGCTGAAGTTGACAGGTTTTTTTTGCTTTGTAGGTGATGGGATGGCACTGAAGGAGAGTGAATCCGTAGGAAATCCCTGTTCGGGAGAGTTGGTTCTCACACTTGAAAAATGTGTCTAATCTTAGAAGGGCTTAAAGAATAGTACTGTGATGCACATGACAAGGGCAGAACTCTAGAGCTTTCAAAAGCAACTTTGAAAGAAAACATCTGCCTTTCACAAAAGCTCTGCCCAAACAACCTTGGAAACCCTTTCTTTTAGGATATGAACCATATCAAACACCTACTGAGTGGTGATCATTTTGTAATGTATAGAAATATCAAACCACTATGTTGTACGCCGGAAACTAACATAGTGTTATAAGTCAATTATATATCAACTTTTCAAATAATTAATTTTTAAATATAAATGATTAAAAAACTTACATAAAATTATTTAGGGCTTCCCTGGTTGCGCAGTGGTTGAGAGTCTGCCTGCCGATGCAGGGGACACGGGTTCGTGCCCTGGTACGGGAAGATCCCACATGCCGCGGAGCGGCTGGGCCCGTGAGCCATGGCCGCTGAGTCTGCGTGTCCGGACCCTGTGCTCCGCAACGGGAGAGGCCACAACAGTGAGAGGCCCGCGTACCGCAAAAAAAAAAAAAAAAAAAAAAAAAATTAA